GTATATTTCAATACAGGAAACTTATTTGTTTCTTACGAAAGTATTACCGCATGATTTACAACTACTGCGTTGTTCACTGTAATATCGTGCAATGTGATTTAATAATTGTCCTCATAATGTACCAATTACGCTACATCAACATTATTTAAATGTTACCATTTAAATTGGAAATATTTAAGGCTAAAGAAATAAATAAACTTTTAAAATATTCCCCTGGATTATGGAGTTCATGACATTTCACATCTCATTTACAATTTCAAAAGCGTGCTTTCGCGCACTTTTTCTTTAAATACAACTAACGTATTGCAATCCTTAAAATTTAATTCTTTTTTTTTTTTTTAATTACAATCGTTGGTTCGTATCAGAGTTTCGAATACACATTACACACTTGATATTGTTTAGTAAAAGGAAGATTACAAAAGGATTAAAAAATTTATTCTATTACAGCAATATAGTGTTTGAAGCACTTCAATTAAAATTATTCGTCAGCGTTCTATATCGAAAAATGACAATATCCGATTATAGTATCGAGAGTAATGTTTATTTCATCGTTTTGTCTGTTTAAAAACAACCTCATAGATATGGTGAATAATAAATCCTGTTTGTATGCTATCTGTTCCTTAAGTTCCGATTCTCTGCGTAATTGATAACAGCTTTTGTAATTTATAATAGAGTCAAAGTAATAATGTTTAAGCTTTCATTTTCTTTTAATACACGAATCTGATTAAATACACGTTTTCATTTTTTAATATGTCTTTTATTCAATTGCTATTGTAAAATGCGTTATACTTTAATGTAACTTAGCTTCGCACTTCGCCTTAATAATATTCAGTTATTTTTTATTCAATTTTATAAACAAATCACGACGCCAGAAAATTACTAACATTCAGTCACATTAACTAAATTTTATAAACAAATCACAGTGTCAGAAGATTACTAATGTCAAAGAAAAATTTTGAAAATTTACAAAATATAACCTAATTTATTTTGGCATTATTGCCCAACTGTCTCGAACAAGACGACGATTTGCCAGACGTCGCTGACCCGATCATCTATTTTTATATTTATAGTTACATTCTTCGTTATTGTATTACCCGCTACTTTTTCACTCGTTTAGCGAGCAACTTCGCAATGCTTATGCTTCATTTACGAAACATATTTTTATTTTTCCGCCAGTAGATTATCGTCTATTTTAAAACAATGATTCAACAAAGAGGCAATATACAACTGAACGCACAGGTGTTACGTTCATGAAAATATATGCATTCAACCGGATGTACGTTCAATGAACATATCTGCTTATGGTATTCCAATAATAGTAGTGTGTACGTAATATCGAATGGCTTGTACGTACTACATAGAAACTGCAGTTTAGTAGTCACTATACACGCGACGGATGTTGGCTATATTCGTCTGAAAAAGAAAAAAAAAAAATAGTCGTTTCAAGGTTTGAGTTTGTTTATTTATTTCATTCATGAAAGCCATGAAAAAAAAAAAAAGAAGAATTAATAGTGACACGAATGAAACCTTGAATACACTATAGGAGTAATTTTTTAAGCGAAGAAAATACGAAGAAATGTTTAAACTTGCTAGATCTTCGTTTTATTTGTTCAACTATCGATCGTTGAAAAATATTGGCAAAAATTTAAAAGCCAGGTATTTAAGGGCTGTTAATAAGGTTGTCGATATTATTTGACGGCAGCGATTACATCTCGAACGTATATCTGTATACTTGAGCACGTTCGAAAGAATAAACGGATAATTACGATAAGATCCTTTTATGTATCAATATACTTAGTGTTTTGGAAATTTGATTGAAAGATTACGATCGAAATAGGTCAAAGGTAGCCACGTGTTCACTTGGCACTCGTAAGAAGCGGTTGCGTTAGTTACCGGCAACAGAGCTCGATCCTTGTGCTGAGATTCTCAACGCGTGAAGCCGTAATAAATATTGCAGCACTTGGTCAGATCAATTAAAACAATGAAATTGGAGTGTTGCTCAAACTGTCGTAGTCTAATATTTCGAGAATTTTAGTAGAATAGGATATACAGTTTAAAGATCGTTAATTATTAGTATTATTATTTCAATAGTAGATTTAGCTTCGCTTTAATTCGTCTGACCGGGGATTCCCAAAACAGTGTGTTTCAAATTCTCGTTTATTTATTATTCACGCTTTAACACTATGTACGATGTCCAAAATTTATTCCACCGAAGTACAATTTTTATTTTTCGGAACACAAAAACGCCAGTTTGACGCTGATAATACATATATGATAAAAACGTAGTTTTCTCAGAAGTACATACAGGTTATTTCACGTAAAACAGGACATCTAAATATCTTCTCTATCTGTGATAACGCGAGAAATATTTCTTGTGTAATTTAAATCGTTTCAAGAGAGACGAATCGGACGAAAGAAAAATTTCCTCATACGTCTCATTTTTTAACGTTTCTTCGAGGTAACATTCCTAACCTATAAAGCACAACGTTTACTGGAGATCGAAGAATAATTGACAATCGGAAGTTGCATATTAACCCTTTGCACTCGGAGATATTTTTGCTGTAAAAAAGGTTACACATCGGATCTTCGAAATTTTTATAAAACTAACCTAGAAAAATGAACTATACTATTTATTTCAATATTCACTATGGTGAAGAAATTTATGGAGATCCTTAGATCTGCTCTCTGTCGTGATTAACGGATTTACCAAGTGACAATTATTTAATATCACTTCTCAGTCGCCACTCGATTACAAACGGTTAAAGTTTATAAAGTTGATAGCAACGTATTACATTCAGGAAGAACCATTCAACACTGTGAGATGTATACCGCACCATACATAACCTATACACATTATAAAAATGTATAAACTTTATTTTATTTTTAACAGCTTAAAAATTAACAGATTATTAAAAATGATTAAAAGATTAAAAATTATTATTAGATTATTAAAAATTACTTCTCGTTGAACGATATTATAAATTATCCGTATCGCGGAATAACTAAGAATTTTGATTGTAATTTATCTGCGAGCAGTCAGCGGTGTCGCAGGTAAAAAGTATCCTCGCCAGGATACGTGAGCCTGATCCTACCTAATTGGTCGGGCCTAGCTCGTCGCGTACCTAGTAGATATACATATATAAAGACGCATCCTTCGCGCCGTAAGCGGCACTCTTTGTAGACAAGACTGCTTTTCGTAAAGCAACACCGACGACTCGGTGGCAAAGACTCCTGTCAATTACCCTATCCTTTCCCTTTAGAGGAAGACGCTAACCTTCGCGGTATATTAGCGGCATTAGACGATACTCTTCGTACAAACAGCCTATAAGGAGACGAAGACGTCTCCTTCGTGGCGCATAGGCGACACTTCTGTTTTCCTTTATCAACTCTTATCTTAAAATCAAACGTCGTTATGTTACCAAATAGAAACACCATTTTTTACTACATTTCTACTGTTTACATTTTTTTTTTTTCTTTTACTTCTATTCACAGATAAGATACAGAAACATATTTGAATTACTGCATAATAAAAGAGATAAGAATGATTATTGTTATTATGTTTTCGTTACACCCGTGAGATACGAAATATATCTGTGAGGGTGACGAAGAGAGAAAGGGGGAAAAAATGTGTATAGGAGAAGGAGATCTAGGTTAAATCGCTGTGCTTTGACGCCTAACCTTGTTAGTTAATTATCCTGTCGAAAAAGTAGCATAAAAATGGACAGAGAGAAGGAAATTATTATAATGTTAAAGGAGTAGAATTATAACAGGAGAGAAATTACGAAGATTTGAACTGTAAAGGAGATTAAAGTAAAAGTTGAAAAATTGAGCTGGTGATGAAAGCTCTGTACGTATGAAAGTGGATACTCTATGGATACGCGATATTCGTGAAATTGTTGTTAATTAGTTGAGTACATTCCGGGAGAAACAAAAGCGTAAAGTAAATTAGCTGCGTTAAAAAATTTGCGGAAAATTAGGGAATGTAAATAATACAGTAATGATGAAAGACAATTTTAAGATGAAGATCTACTTGAAGGATTTCTATAAAATATATTACCTAAAATTTGCATGTTATGATTATTTTAATATAAATATTTTGTCGTTATTTCATACGATTTTACATTTGATACCTCTTTTATTATTAATCGTTTTACATTATTTTAATTCGATTAATAAAAACTTTACAAAATGAACTAAAATCGTACGAATTTCAAGTAGATCATATAGATCAGTGCAAATTTTAAATAAATATTACTTTTTTACAACTCAGAAAATTGTTCAAAATTGAAAATTTAAACACTATATTTACACTCAACAAAATTTAGAATATACGAACTATGCAAAGTGTACAAGTACTTGCGCATAGCTCAAAGAATAGGCATACCAGGTGTGTTATTATTTCATACCTAACTGCAAGTAGTAACATTTATTAGACATTGTTAAACTACTAATCCTGAAATAAAAGTCTAAGTGTATTTAACCAGAAATTTTTAACTATGACATAAAATATATATATATATTTTTCGTTATTTACAAAACAGCAACGATTTAACAATAATGCAACGTAACAGTGATAAAAATATAATTGAACTGCTTTTTCAACATGCAATACTGTTTTTCCTACAAAATTTCTATTTATTAACGAATAAATGGCAAAAGTGATCAGACATAGATAAAGATCTAATTTTAATATAGCCATCTTAAAAACGCCTGATTTACCTAACGCACATGACCACTGGGTTATGCCTACTTGAGAAGGGCAGTGGTCTGTAGTGGAGATTTATAAATATTCTCTGGGGGCAATTTTAGAGAATAGTTGTATATAGGTGAAAGTCAGTCTGTATCAAGAAACATGAATGAAGCGGAATGCGTGCTGGTTATCGCACGACCTATGTCAGTCTTCGTGACCTCGTTGCGTGGATTCTCAATCACGTGCATCGTAACATCGTATATACGTGCTGCGTGTACCGTGACTAAACTACTTTTAAGTAGACCTCTATTCTCTTAGTATTGAACGCTAATTAAACGTTCACGATATCAATATAACAATATTCAAATATATTCGAATTACACTTGACTTTATCCGGTGTGGTCGAACCAGGTGTATCTTCTGACAAGCCAGTCATACTGTAAAACCAAGTGCAGTTCGGTTCTGTTGTACAATTATCAATTTCTATCTTATGGTTGTCAACGGTAAATTTTATAACAATCAAAAATTTCCATTGCTTCATTTCAATATTTAGAATTTACAAGTATCTAAAAATTCAGCATTCGGCAAGCGACTTGTAAAATTTACATAGCGACTTATATCCAAAGTACACATTTCCTTTTTTCGAAGTTAGCGAAATTGACTGAAATAGCTGAATTATTCGAAAAAAAAAAGAAACAAAGAAATTAGGTATCGATTGAAATATTTTTCAAATGTATTGTAAATTAAACGAAATAAATTATCGATGCATGTATCAACGATCTGTATACTAATTTTGTGATGCTTAATTTTCAGTAGGCGGAAGGGCGGGTACGGGCGGAGGCGGCGGCGGAGGCGGAGGCGCACCTCTTTACGGTCGTCTGGTAGCTGAAGAGCCGTTACCCCCTACAGTATGCGGGGGTGCCGGTGCCGGTAGCGGTACCGGCGGGGTTCCCCAAGAAACCCCCGCGGATATTCACGCCATGCAAGCCAGGATACCCCATAGATTTCGTGATCCAGCTACGGCACCCCTTAGAAAACTCAGTGTCGATCTCATCAAAACTTACAAGCACATCAACGAGGTAAAACATCTTTCTTTCATTTCGCTCGATCATTCAACACTGTTTTAAATCCTTCCACAACAAAGGCTGGGTTATTGAAAATTCGCCTTAATCCTTTGCGGACGGAGAACTGTCTACCATGCCCAAGTACTGATTACTTGTATTACACATAATTAGGTCACTACTTCAGTTTTCTTCTTTTTTTTGTTTTTCAAACTAAATTTTTCGAATTCACGATCGCTCCAACTATTTTTATTGCTTAGAAGTATGAGTTTATTGGTTGCGTTCATAGCGCTTTGTGAACGCATATATGAGTCTATCGTCCTCAAAGGGTTAAGTCGAAAGAGGTAACGTGGACTAACCAAACCGATTAGTCTTGACAGTTAAACGAGATCTACTAAAACGTATAAAAAAAAAAAATAAATAAAAACGAAGAGAGGCCCCCTTTTAACATCTCGCTGGGAGATCAGCGAAGTACTGAGTACTTGAGTAAAAGAAGTAACTAAGTAAATATGTCCTAACAAACCGTAAAAACTACGGGAAAAGAATTTCCTCGCTGTTTTTAATAATTTTGAAGAAAATTTATTTTATAACACTTTATGCGATACCAGCCTCTGTGTATGCGTTACGGATTAGATTTCGAGATACGTATAAAGTAACGCGCCGCAGCATGGGTCACGGGATTCCCCGGCCCGTTATCCGAGGGTTAATTATATTTTTTCTGAGCTTTTTTTTTTTTAAATATATTTTCTCTTATTTTCGGGAGAACTGTGAAATTGTATTGTGCTACTGTGATTTTAAATTGTATTTGCCAGAGGGTAGCTTACGAATTTCCATTTTATTGCATCTACAATCTTAGGATTCGATTATTCGACGATTTTATTTTTTTCTTTCTTTTTCTTTTTCAACGGTACTCGGTGATTAGTCACGTAATTAAGGTGATAATGTAGGCGGTGATGAATGCAAAAGCTGCGAAATCGAATCTCCGCGAAATAACCATGATACAAACTTGCAATTCTTTTATTAGTGTTATTTCATGATCAGTGAAATTAGTTATTCAGTTGTAATTGCTGACGGTGTAATAATTGGAAAGTAATCGTTATTATTATAACGCATGCGTCATGGTTATTGTCCTATACTGCGTATGTTATTATTTCACATGATATTAAATTGAAAAAATATGCTATGCAGATGTATTGTTATCCGTTTAGTGTGTAACCAATGATGAAATGAAAATATATAGCAACTATATTGACGTTCTCGGTACGGGTAGATAGTCGGGGCGTAAATCTTGTTCAACTTTGATTTTGCGTGGTCTCCATTATTGCCAATAAAATACCACAATCGCTGAATAATCTTTTAAAAACAGTTCAAGTTATAAACTTCGTACATGTGCTGTGTTATAAACTTGTATTTATCGATACAACGAAGCGTGATGGTTGGACCAATAAAAGAAAGCAGTGACCCTAATTGTTATAACCTTAATGCAACAAATTTATAGTACAACAATTATTTTCTCGAGTTAAACATTTTGGCCACGACTAACCGATATAAATGATTACAAATTTTTTTCATTAACCAGTATTATTACAGTAATATAATTATAGTAATTATATACATTTATAGGAGAGGGAAATTATTTTTAAGAGCACTTTAATTAACGATAAGAGAAATAGGTTAGGTTAGGTGCAATTAAAATTCGATTTTATAAATATAATTTTTTGCAAATTATATCGAGACAGATAATAGACTAGGACTGTTAGATAAATGCAAAGTAACATAAGTAAACAGGTATGACAATGTGACGAATGATTTGAATACCGGATAATCTTCATTTGCAAATATTCATAAAATTGGTTATAAAACAAAACATGTAAATCGAAACGGTATTGTCCATTCGAGTACTCGAACGCAGTCAACTATCATCTCTCCCCATTCCTGGGACCTTACTTCCTTTTCCTTTTCCAAAGAACTTCTTGGAAATTTTCAAACTAGTTTAGGAATTTTTTATTTTTTATTATGTATTTCTATATTAAATTTTTTTTCTTTTTGGAAATTTTAAAGTTGCTTTAGGATTTTTAACTTTTTTGGGGGAATTTCGAAGTTATTTCCGTGGTAACTGTATTTTTGTATTGAATTTTCTTTCTTTTTAGAAATTTTAAAGTTACTTGAGGAATTTTTAATTTTTTGGGGAATTCTTTATTAAAATCCTGTATATTTATTCTAAATTCTCTATCTAATTTCACTTTGCATAGTGTTTCAACAATATATTATTTACACATATATTGGTCAACCACAGTATAAGGTGTTACATTATATTATTACTATACATTACTAGCTAATGTATTATTACCCTTCGTAATGTACCTTAATGTACCATTACCCGATAATATAGATTAATCTATACTGTGATTGACCGATATATGCATGTATAATAACGTATAATGTTCAAAAATATACAAGTCTTACGATTACATACGCGAGAACAAGCTGTAATATTCACTTTAAGAGTAGCTTAAATTTTTTAAAAGTCAGACTTTAGGTAAAGTAGCGTTGTTCACGGAAAGTGCCCGAGTTGCATTTTAGAATTTTTCTAGAATTTCTTATTCACAAAAACCATCTAAACATTGGGAAGAAATTGTGAACAATGATTGTGGAGAATACGTCATTGATTAAATCATGTTAAATACTTATTAAAAAAAAAAAAACTGAAGTTTTCACATCCGGGGAAAAACCGCACGAAATTATGGACCAAACTAATACTAAACGAAAATCTTTGATAAAATGATCTTTGCAATATAATGATTCTAATTATACGATGAACAGTATACAGAGTATTCCACAATTAAACGATCGAACTGAGTTAATATGTTCTACGAGCAGAAATAAAACAACAATGCTGTGCAAACATAGATTCAGAGTGTCCACATTTTAAAAACGCCATCACGAAGTCTAGATATAAATCGATCTGATTGAGTGTATTAAAATGAAATGGAAAAATTAATTAGAACACGCGGAAAAATTTGCAGTAAACAAAAACAAAAAAGAAAAATCGAATGGAAAAGGTTCTACAGGAGAATTGATAAGTAGTAAATAAACAATTGGCTTGAAAAATAATGAAAAATGTAGGATTTTTATTTGAATTTTTCAATTGAAAAGAAGCTCTAAAAAGTTCATTGCTTCCATGTTGCAGATAAAAAATCATATATCAACTTTCATCGAGTGAGTATAAAGCTTAAATTTCAATGACGAGTTAACTCGTCTTATCCGCTACGTAGGAGTTTTCGGATAACGAGGAAGAAACTAGCAACAAAGTATATAAACTTTCCTTCTCAATTGCGCAATAATATTGTTATTCAAGTGTGCCACTATTATTTTTTCTGTTGTAAAACGTTTTGGAAATACATGTTTGTTATTATTTTATGTGTCACTTTATTTGTGTTACTGTCCTTTATTATACAAGATGTATCACATAAAGTGTCACA